AAGTAACTAATTCGAGTCGTTGAAGCATTAAGTTAAACATATAAAACATTCTGCTCTCAAAGACTGTATTAACATATTGTTAGTTTTGCTATAAAATGTAGACTTTCGAAATGCGAGAAGTTTAAAAGATTCCTAGCACGTAGAATCTGTTTCTTAAGTAAAGCTCACGTAAACATTAGATCAATAAGGGATGAAAAAGAATTCATTATTGTTCTGAACGCAATCCCACGTTATCTTAGTTCACAGCAGAAACAAAAGGCTGTCGGATATCGCATCAAAGTTTTAGATTGTACCGGGCGATAATGCGAACAGATCTCTGTGACACAATGGAAACAATTTGCTTTCCCTTTGTTTCACAAAAATTACCTCCGACGTCATTTAATATTAATTTATATATAAAATATATTCACTATTTATATAGATCAATAATTTGATTTATTTTGACACAAATGGAATATGAAATGAACTGTCATTTATTTATGAATACATATTTCAAACGAATTATGTTTTAGTTGGATTTTTAAGAGAAACCGTTTATGTTCCTCTTATGTAATACTAATAGTTGCTGTTGACAACGAAAGTGTTAATAACTACCATTAGACTCAAATTTCATCGACACTTAGTGAAGCATATAAATTTTATATACGTAATTAATTTGATAGTCCTTTAATATAAACTATGCTGCTCAAACCTAAGCTTCATTTAACAGAAAAAACAGGGTGTTCAAAATACATGTTAATGAGAAATAAATTAAAAGACTCATTATATTGTATTCTACATCTTTTTATTATTACACGAACTCAATAAAATGAAACGAATGAAATATTCATATTTTATTATATAACATGTATATGGTGTTCATTAATTAAATGAGACGATAAAATTAATTTATTAAATAAATTGAGAGACTATTTAAAATAAAAATATAATATATAATTTAGCGAATGTACAGTTCGGTTCATTAATTCAATTAATAGGGTTTTTATTGCTGTGAAAATGTTTTACCTATTAAGTGTACATGGACGGTACATCCGAATAGCATTAATTAAATTGATACCATCGAATACCGATGAAACTGATTCTATTGAAAACACACAAACTTTATTTTTAATAGGTATAATGTTCGCGTGTCCGTATTACGTGCCGATAATATAACTGAGGTGGAGGGATATTATCGTTTTATGACAACAATTCAAAAATCATTACTACCAAATACCAATGTATCTGACATCATGCGTGTTAAAATGTTGAGTATTGATAAGCTTTGTTCCAGTTTTATATTTATTTCTTATTATAAAAATAGCACTAAAACTAATCTGGAAATATAATTTTTATGTTCAATGTTTATTGTTAAGAATGCTAATACATAATACATTTTAGTTCCGAGAACGAATGTATCTTATCTAAATTAGCTTCGCCAATTTGCCTCCGTGGGTTAATTGAAATGGTAATGTAGTAAACATAATCTCATTAATATAATAATGATAATACACTGAAATGTTAAAATGAGATTACGACTATAATAATGGTTATACAGAATTATTACGTTTATTGATATAGTATAAAGGATTATATGATATACAATGTTCTAACGATACCTAGAAAACTAACTAATTATAATTAGTTTAGTTATACATACTATAATGCAATTAATTAAAATAGAACTTGATTTACATATAAATTACTTCAGTGTTTGTTGATAGTATTATCATACATTATATAATGTTCTTGTAAATAACACGTTGAAAGCAACACTATCCCTACTAATATTATAAATGCGAAAGTAACTTTGTCTGTCTGTCTGTCTGTTACGCTTTCACGCCTAATGATTTTAATGAAATTGGGTACTGAGATATAGTTGACCTTAAGAAAGAACATAGGATAGTTTTTTATCCCAGACGTTTGAAATGTTTTCTTAGAAACGCGATATAACCTAACTCCACACGAGCGAAGCTGCGGGCGGAAAGCTAGTTTATTAATAAACGCGTGAGTAATGCCTTTCACATGTCTGTTTATATGAATTTATGTTAAAATAATGCCTATTTACTTTATATATTTTTATGAATATTTTCTTCTATTTTTATAATCATTGTAATTGAGACTCGTTTGTACTTTTATGATTGTTTCATTAAATATTTTCAGTCAATGAGATGGAAGTCTTAAAACACAGTATTATATTCGCATCCTGAGCCGTCGTTGGCTGTACATGTCAAATAACAAGATTAACTGACAGACACTCCCATCTCGTCTTACTGTGACTCCATTTGGTGTAAACTAAACTTCAAGTATGTAGTTACAAATCAGAATGCAACCCAAATACAGAAAAAACACAAGGTAAATCCTAAAAAGTTCATCCTTTTACTAAATATTTAATAATATTTATTAGCCTTATCCTTAGATAAGTCTTTAACGTCATATCACAAACGTAAGATTTCTTACACCACAGTCTGTATTTAATACAAAACGATATAAAAATGACTTCAAAATTCTACCAAAATAACTTATCTATGTATGTAGATATGTTTAGAAGGTATGTAAGCGAACTAAAAAGCAAAAAATAAAAACGATAACTTGTCTTAAAACAGCTAACTAACTCACTTTGATAAACCAACTACGTATTTTTTTAAGTAAGTGCATGTATGTACATGTTTCAGAAGTGTATGTATGTATTCGAGGTACAGTTTAAGTCTTGATTTTAAATGCTCAGTTTTACTTCCAGTAACGTCTTTCAAAATGGGTGAAGCCAGTATTTAAAGTTCTCAAATACAAATTGATACTTGTTACCGTTACAAAATTGCAATATTTCAGTTATATAATTAATTATAATCAGTCATAAAAATATTTTAAGGACTATAGTATATTATAGTTAGTACGGCACGAATGGCGCCATTTGTAACATATGCACATACATCGTCATCAGCCTATTTCTCCTCTTAAGCCTCTTTCTCACACGGAGAAGGTTTGAGCATTAATCACCACGATTGCTCAAGACGGGTTGGTGATTTCAAACTTTATTGCACATACATACACTTTAGAAATTTTACACATTAGTTCAGACGCTGATAAGGACCAATATAATATAAAACTGGGAGTTTTGGAAATATAATACACATAAGGATCTTATTTTTTTAGATTGGATAAAAATAGAAAATAACCGTATTTTCTTTATAAATGTAAAAAAAATTGGATGAGTAGTGATTTTTGGAAAATTGTTACATGTAAGTAGAAGTATAACATTAATTACATTTTAGTTATATTTTTTATTTATTATATTAAATAAGTCTCAATGAATAGTAATAAACAGTGGTTTCAGTTCATTTTTTGTAAGTCAGACGTCTTTTAAATAATTGCTTTATTATTATTTTATACCGTCCCTTGGAAACTTTAAGAAATATTATTTCTTCTTTAATTTTCGCCAAGGATTAATGAATATAAATTATTAAAACTTTAGGTTTCTTTATTTATTACAGGCACTTAAAATGGGTTGCCGTGGGTCCATCTGTTTGTGTTTATTTTAGTGGCCCTCTCTACGTTATGCAAAATTTATTAAGGTAAGAATTGCAGCCGTGAAAAGAACCACAGAAACAATGCATAAAAAATACAAAATATGATCAAAACCCCAAAGCTTATATGAAGTAAAACATATTCCAATAATATGTATCATTAGAGTTCATATATTGTTAAGTTTATTGTTTGTTCCTGATCCATACATATACTTTTATATTAATTTTCAGGCAGTTGGTAAACATATATTATAAATCTATGTCTCATGTTGTTGTAAAAATGGTAAAATCTGACTTATAATTAATTATTCATTGATTTACAACTTATAACATTTCTCGATTCAAATTTCTTTAAAATATGCGGTTCTTAAAATAAATTATCTTTGCTTAAAGTTCATGAATTCTTAATGATTTTATAACTAAAGTTACATTTATTTTTAAATATAATATCGAACTGTTGAAAACTTTCCGCATATTACAACACATTGAGTCTTCTTTTAAATGTTGATTTATATCTAATTTGAATTTATGAATAATGTAACAGAAGTCGTATTTATGTATTAATGTATAAAATTAGTGGAAAATATATTTATATTTATAAAAAAAAACAACGTATATTTATCTGTTCGTATTGCGTTCAATATTGGTTCAATTGTCAAATATAGATTACATACATATTAGTTGTACTTATAAGTCAACTAGATGGCGTTAAAAGACATTTAAAAGTTATTTTGATATCTAAGTGATGCATACTAAAATTATCTATAACTCTATATTTTTATTACTTTGCCTGTGTGCTTTGTTTTTGTCTACAGTCTTTTGTATATCAATAAGAAAGTTGCTATATGATTGCAGATTCCAGGATATGTTAAATTTGTTTAGTAAAATGACCTTATCTGCATTTGTCGTAATTTAAGAACTTGTTTACTACTGTGGGCAGTTGCGAATTAGATTATTTTATAAATTTTGACTTCAATATCTCCGAATATATATGACAAAAATGGTCCTTCACAAATGGATTTACAGAAAGACAAACGATGGGGTTCTTGTAATGGTCTGGTACTCTGAATAAAAAATAATTAACAAACCATACATTTCATTGCCTAAAATTCACTATATTTACTGACTTCACTAACACAAGAGTATTTAATTAAAACAATAAATTAAAAGCACTTAATAATTGAAATAGTATAAGTTATTGAGTGTAACGATATTTGAATTAAACATTACAATTAAAATTTAAACAGAAAATTATGTTGATTCCCACGAATAGAAAAATATTTTAACTTAGTCAGTGGTGGCCTAGTGGTTAAAAGGCCCGCCTCTCATCCACGAGGGCGCAGGTTCGATCCTGGCCGATTGGTTCGAACATGTAAGGCAGACCCTGGCTATAGCTGGGAAATTGCCAGAAGAAGAAGAGTAAAATATGTTACCTTCACACTATAAAAATAGTAAATACTATTATAATTTAACATTAAATAAAGAGATTATTTGATCATGGTCGCTATTTACTGCGGTCGTCATCCTTCGAAGGTATTTATTGGCAGTTGACTTTGCTAAAACCTACATAAGCCTTTGTAAGTTAGCCTTTGAAAGACTGCAGTGAGCTTAAATTGCTTCGTCCCACTAATTTTAATAAAACCATTAATATTCCGTATCTGTTTTGCTTTATTGATTATTATTGTTTTAATTAAAATTATTTGTGAAAAGCCAATGGTGAAATTCATCTGTATAATTAAGATATTTACCAACTATTTTATATAGAAAAAACAATGTGTAATATTTTGCAAAAAGACTATTAAGGCTTTGAAAAAACTTTAAAAATCGTAATTTTTTTATTTTAGTCTTATAAGTTTTAAGTTTATGAAATATAAAAACTTAATTTAATTTTAAGCAAAATTGATAAATGCTTGACACTTAATTCAAAAAGAATATATTTTGACATATCATTACTTCAGTATCATTTATTTTTTTCTTTCAAACTGTTCAACGAAGAAAACATAAGCTTCCTGGTTTTGACTTGGATATTGTGATAGTTTTTATAAAAGTATGTAAATGAACTTTCTTAGAGAGTTAAAAAACCAGTTGCTGATTTCAGAAAGAGAAGTTCTCTTTATTTTTCTACTTGTAACAATAAAGTAATCCTTTCGATACTAACCTTTTCACATATATTTTTATACCTTGAAAACTTGAGGTTCAAATATATGGATAAAGCATTAAAGTATTAAAGCCATGTTCTTTTTAATCATATATATAGTATCTAAGGTAAACTTAGTTTTAACTCGTTAAATTGACCTTCCTAGCAAACCTGTTTAAAGACGAAAGAAAGAAAGACGAATAGTTAAAGCGTCACCCTCCTGCTTTGTCCAGAGGGTAAAAAGGTCCAGACGAACATCCAAAAAATGGTCCCATTGTAATCTCAAAGACAGAAAGATAGTAACTCACTTGGATAATCGGTGTGGATGAACTTTATTTTCTTCTGCTCCTTTTCTTTTACTTTTAAACCTGCAATATTTTTTTCTTCCGAATAAAGATATAATTATTGTACTAATTAAAACTAAATTAAATTATCGTTTAGCTATTTTCGTATATAATTCGTGTGTTATATCCTGAAATATTTTCATATCCATGTGTAACTATCAAAATTAAATTAATACTTACATAATATCACATAACTTGCTCCTCAGTCTAGATTTAAATTATTATAAAATATTAATATGTTAATGTGAAATGCCCTTTAACATCGATATTAGTAAAAGTTTAGTAATTTGTAAAATATGTTTCAAACACCATTTAAATGTTTTAGTTATTATTTTTAATATATGTTTATAAGACGAAATTAAACAGCATATAATAGATTTTATTTGAATTTGAATATATTTTTTTATACACATATGAATAATTATCCAAATGTCTCAACTAAGCGGTCTTCAAATTTAACGAACTGCTTCTGTAATTTTAACTATTGTTTTGGTGAATTTAACTCCGATCTGATCTTAATTAAAACAAAAACAAATGATTATTGAGGAAACTAACACAATAATTTCCCTGCAAATCCTTTAGTCAAGGTTCATAGTTCAATTAGCACTGGTATTCCTATTCTGAGTGTATGTATTGTGATTCCAATTATCACATTGAACACACTGAGAACAAACTTTGGGATTTTTTTGCTCTATTTTTTAAATTTAACACTTTCGTTTTACGTGTCTTTGTCTTTTAAACTACTATGAAAATTAATCCCTGTAAGTATCTTTGAATTTTTTTTTATAAATAAAAAGTTTGGCTTTGGTGAATTGAACAAATTTACTTAATAACATACTCTTTATTTTAGCCAACCAGGTAGGATTCATGATAAATAGTTCATATATAAATTGTTAATAGTAAAAATTATTCAAAATATGTTACGAGTAACAGAAGATAAATTACAAATCGTAAGTACATTTTACAAACACTAAACTTATCTTTTTAACGGGAATACTCTCGTAGAATAAATCAAAACATTTTACATAAAAAATATGAAATTTTGTATTTTTAAAAACAAGATGCTAAAGACTAAAACAATATATCTGATAAGGTTAGACGCATATCATTTTGCAACGTTTAAACAAAAAAAAAGACAAATTTGGGAATATGAGGATATTCCCATTTTAATCTCCAGATCGATACACCTCAATAAAAAAGTATAATTATTCAATTTCTTAAATTGTTTGGAACACAACAAAAACTACAAACATAGCAAGCACGGGTAAATGAAAACTAAAGACAAGTCTGAAACGAAACTCCTGAAATCCTAAAATGATAATACAAAATGCTGAATACATCACTACTTCGTTATTATGTACAGAAAATAATATTATGGTTTTTATTAACCTTAACTACAAACGGTATAATTATTAAATTTTCCTTTGAATAAATTAGTTGAAGTAAAATGAAACCCCTATCTTAGTTTTCTGTGATCCTTTAAAATCTTCTAAGCAGCGGCTTTTCGGATTATGCGGGCGGAGAGAAAGACGTCTATAATATTATATTATCAAAACAATTCCACTAATGCTATCAATGTTATTGTTTTAATAACTTCTTAAGAACTGACCCAAAGAAATCTAGAATATTTAATAAAGATTATTATAGTTCAAATTGTTACAAACGGCAAGTGGCTAAGCATTTATTGAAAATGGTGAGGTATTCATTATTTGGCAGTATTGTGTTATTTAAAAATTGGTCTCATTATATTGATGTACAAAGCCTTTAATATATATCTATAATATATATTATTATGATAGATTTAATAGGATTAAAACCTATCATAATGTAATATGTATGTATTTTAAGTTAAAAAGTTTAGTTCCATCGTCAGGTACATATTTTTTGTTTTGTAAATTATTTAGTCATTTTGCTATTTCAGATCATTGTATTAATACATTTTTTATATATAAGTTTAATTCAATTAGCGATCAAAAAATAGCAAATACATCCTGTTTTTTTTTTTTTTTTTTTTTTTTTTTTTTTTTTTTTTTTTTTTTTTTTATTCTAAATATATTGTTTAATATAATGGTAATAAAAATACACATAAGAGATATAAAAGTACACACGTTAAGAAATGTTATAGATGTTTAAAGACTTAAAACTATGTGATGAAACGATGAAGAGCCCGAGGGGCTGGAGGGCTTTTGCGATTTGATACAGCGGTCCTCCAGCTCCCAAGTGCAAAGGGTGATAATGAGGATGATTGATGAACCTTATGCTAACTTAAAACTAAGAGTCTGAGCCGACATAAATGTATATGTAAGGAAGGGATATGTACAAGGATATATAAAAAAAAAAATAAAAGAAAAGAAACAGTTATTTCACGTATTAGTAAGTTTTGCAGGACGTCCAGTGACAGCCATAGGTGTGCGATTAATAGAAATGAAGTGGAACGAAGTATGAAGTTATGTCTTATTGAACGATTTAAGATTGTTTATGATATATTTAGAGAAATTGATGAAAGATAAGGTGGCTTCTTTGTTCTCCAGAAGGGAGGCCATGTTGAAGGGAGACACCCCGGCGTGGCGGCAGATGATCTGATGGTCTGATCTCTGTGCGATGAACCGCGGGCAGTCCTCGAGCACGTGTCCCATTGACTGCACCGTGGTGTCGTCGCACGGACAGACAGCATCCTCCGTGACCTTAACCCTGTGTAGATATTGTTTGGTGTAGGCGTGTCCTGTAAGTGTTTGGGTTAGTGTGAATGTGTTGTGCGCAAGTGAGTGTAATTTAATGATGTGTTTAATTGTAGGAAGGTGTTGTTTGGTGTATTGTCCTTGTGGCTCGCTCTCGTATCGAGACTGCCACACTGAGGCGTGGAGTGTTCGTGTGGAGTGTTTTATATATGTGATTGGAAATTGTGTGTAGTCCGGGGCTCTGTGGAGCTTGGCCGCCCGCTTGGCAGCGGTGTCCGCAGCCTCGTTCCCCACTATGCCCACGTGAGCCTTGACCCACGCGAACTCGATGGACCCGGACGTGTGGTGTACTGTGAGGTGTATTTTCGCAACCAAGGGGTGTGTGTTACTGCGGTTCTGGATGGCGAGAATGGCAGCGCTACTGTCTGAGTATATAACCGTGCGTGTGTGTTGGTTGGAAGAGGCCCATTCGCAAGCTTTGAGGATGGCTAGAAGTTCAGCCTGGAACACAGTACAACTGTTATGAAGCTTGAACTTCTTACTGACGGGATTGCGTTCTGCGCCATAGCTGACGAAGGCCGCCCCGACAGCTCCATCTTCGAGTTTGCTACCATCGGTGAAGGTGTGGGTGGTGTTAGGGTGAGCTCTTGACTGGAAGTCCTGAACCTCGCCTTGGGTCCAGAACGTGTGTGAGTCATATGTATGTCTGTGGGCTGGATGAAGGAGAAGATGTGGAGGAGTCGGAAGTTCCAGTGTGATGTTTGCCGGAACTAGCGAGGACGAGCCAGTAAGGCGAGTGGCTTCGACCCGGTTCACTTCTTTGACTTTTAGGTCCAGGGGGGTGAACAAGGCGAGTGCGAGAGCAGCAGAGGTGGACACAGTCCTGAACCCTCTGATGGCCTTGAGGGCGAAGGCTCTCTGCATAGACAGAAGCTTCTTCCTCACGCACTTCTTATCAGCCACGTGCCCCCACACTCCGGCGGCGTATGTAATGATAGGCTGAATCACCTGTAAGTATATTATGCGTATGTTTTCTGGGTGGGCCCCCCATGTATGTCTGCAGAAGAAGGAGAGTCTATTGAAAATTTTGGTGGCTTTGTAGACTATGTGGTTAATGTGTTCGCGGAAGTTGAGTTTATCATCCAGAATTACACCGAGGAACTTGATGCTCTTCTGGAAGTGAATAGTGTGTGAGTCCATGGTAATGAGTATCTGTTTGGCTTTGGCGTTGAACGCTAAAGCCTGTGTCTTGGCGGGGCTGAACGAGAGCTTGACTCCTTTACCCCAGCTGGTGATTGTGTGAAGTGCAGAGTTAATGTTATCCTGCAATTCAGACGCGGTTTTCGCTGATGCAACCAACAGAACATCGTCAGCGAAGGCTTGGAGTCGGCAGCCAGGAGGCAAATCGATTTCCAGGAGCTCATCGAGGATGATATTCCATAGGTGAGGGCCACAGGTCGAACCCTGGATGCAGCCCTTGGACATAGTTTTAGAAGCCCTACAACCGGCGTGGTCAAGCATGACTGTGCGTTGGTTAGTGTAGCTGAGGATGAGTCCGTAGATGTTGCGTGGACAACCGATATGCCTCAGCCGATGGAAGAGAGCGGGCCACCATCCTGTAACTAATATAAGACAGAAGTTTTTACTTGTTTTTCACTGAAAATCTTAGAAAATTTCAAGAGATAGAAAATGGTCTTCGGGAACAGTCTTTTACTAAAATATCTTTATTCGTTAAATACGTTTTTTTGTTTCTCATTAACGAAACAGAAGTGTGAAAAATTTTGTACACTATCGATCGAGCGAGCGTTCTACATTAAACCAAGTACGTGTAATATTTACTAAGATCACTTATAAATTGATTATGTCCACCGCAATCATGATTTTTTGAAGCGATGTTCTATGTATTAAGCGTAATTAATCTGACTATAGGCAGCTGAAGTACACTAGTTTTTAAGTATGTTTTTTATTCTTTATAGCTTTTTAATATTAAAACCTTTCTCTATAAAATAAAGATATATGCATAGTTACTATTACTGATTTTCATATTATAAGAAATAAATATTCAAAAGTGAATTGATGTTTTTATAAAATTTTATGTTTTTAAACCAGAACTTTAAGGTTTTATCCGAGATTAGTACTTTTGAATCCCATCTCAGTAACTTAAAAATTTAGCTTACTATCCAATATTACATCATGGATTACATATCCTATATATTACATAAATAAACTTTGTTAAAAAATATAAAAGATTTTCCAGGATATTTTTTTTGATTACATAATATTTTAATGATAAAATAATAGCTCTACAAAATAACTGTAATTAGAGGAAATATTTGCCAGTCAGCTATAGTGTTAATAACTTAAATGACTATCAACGAGGCAATCTGAACTAATGCTTTCATTTATAAACACTTTGATGAACAAACATTTTTAATAAATATTATGTAAAGTGTGATTTTTTACAACTAAATGACTCGTTTGAAAGAAGAGAAATAATAAATAGTTTTATAAACTTACTAATTGACCCAGCAAATGTTATTTTGTCATATAAAAAAGGAGTTGGTGATAAAATAATAAAAATTTGGGTTGCATGTAATTTAAATGCTACATTATAAAAAAATTAAAACAAAAATTTCGTCCAAAAAAAAAGTTAAGGGTTAACAACCCTTGTGACTTAGGGGAATGAAAAATAGAAGTTGGCCGATCCTCAGACCTACTCAATATGTTCACAAAATTTCATCAAAATCGGTCCAGCCGTTTCGGAGGAGTTCTCCGTCTAACACCGCGACACGAGAATTTTATATATGCATAAGATTTTAGTCAATAGTTTTATTTTGTCTTTCTTTATTAATTTTTCTGAACACTTTTCAATAAGATTCCACACATACTCTATAAAAGCTCCATTGACACTGCATTTTTTATACAACTTTATTCAAAACTCCTTGAGTAAAATTGGACATCAACACTAAATTATGAACAAGCAAATCTCCTTCCCATTTTTAAAAATTATCTGATTATGATGATTTTTACTTTAGAAATATCCTCTGAAATCCTAAAAGGTATTGTTAATAAAAGTTACATTTTCTTAAGAAAGTTTTTATTTCATTTTAACCTTTTAGAAATCCCTTAAAAATATCTCATAGTTATATGTGTAATTTTTACTTCAAACAACATAAGTGGAAAAGTTAACATAAGAATATTCGCAGGTTACACACTCCAGTTTTATTTCATGGTCCTTAACGTAATTACACGTTATTCCCAATATCTGGTTTCTACATACTTCTGTTCTAATTCAATAACAGTATCTGGTACTGTGTCAGTAATTGTGTATCATTTGTTAAACAGCATGTAAACATTGCAAACTATTGTAGAGTATTAAAGGTGTACAAATATATTTTAGACTACGTATATTTAAGAGTTCTAATTCAAATCATTCATCTTCTTCTTCTACCAAGCAATTTCCCAGCTTTAGCCAGGGTCTGCCTTACGTGTTGTAAATAGTTTTGGCTAATTGTTTTTACGACCCACCGCCTGCCTGACATCAACCCTCTTTGGGAATCAGCATTAATCAGTGATGTCTAAATACTCTTAGAAAGTACATATGACTCGGAAAAATCACACTGATACTTGCCCGGGCCAGGATCGAACCCGCGCCCTCGTATAGGCGGGCTTTTTAACCACTAGGCCACCACTGACTTAACTCATTGTTAGAATATTAATATAAAATATAAGGTCGTCATTTAGTTTGTCTTAAATTTAAATATAAATGAATTCAATAACATTTAAACATTATTTTCATTACGTATTGTATGTATATTATTAAACTACATTTTTAAAAAGCTCTATAGATAATAATGGTATTTATAGAGGTTATATAAAATAATAAAAACTAAATACCAAAGAAGTTTTGGAACTTTTTTGGTATTCTTGTTTTTTTTCTTTATATATTGCACAATTTAATCTTATTAATTTATAAGAGCTCTAAACCACGGAGCAGAAAATATGGGTATAAGCTCCAGCCAGCGGTCAGTCAGTAATTTTATTTGCTCTCAGTAAAAAAATACAACCTCTCGATAAATTAGCAGAAAACCACAAGGCACTTTGAGCTTTGAAGTTTAATTTACATAGCACTTGTATTGTTTTATATCTTATATTGTGTGAAGATGATAAGGAAACCGATACATTTTTATGAAATTCGTTACAACCAGGTTGAATCAAAAACATTTTATTTCAAATCTAATGACATCTAACCTTCGACAGATCAAAGGTGTTTTATACATTAAGGGTGAAAGATTGTTTTTTGTATTTTTGTTTGAGCAAAAAAATTTATTCTACTTTTAAGAAAATTTGTTTAGTATCATTTCATTGAGTCATGGTTTCCCTATATATATATATTTGTAATCTATGTATATGTGTACTGAAAATAAATTACAAAAAGGTTTTCTAAAAAAGGCACATTACTTCTTAATAAAACACTAATTATAATAATAATTGTGGTTAATTAAACCGAATTTCTTCAAATTTCTGTCTATACTTCAGCTTCAAAACAAACACAATACAGCACTTTAACAGAAAGTGGCCATGGGTTTTGATTGTATCCAGTGATAAATTCTACCGATTTCAATGACACAAAAGAATCTATTTTGTTGCCCTTTGTTTTCCTTTATATAGCTTTCCTCCGACATCATCTGTTCCGAAGTACAATAATATTACACCTTAAATCAATAAACCCTACAGTTTTCAAGTAAATACTTCGACCGTTGCAGCGGATTGAATGAGAAATAAATGTAGTGAGAACTTTCATTTAGAGAAATGGGAAACGATTTGATCAGCTTAACGTTTATTTTAATTAAAATGGACAACAAAGTGATTGAAGAAGACAAGACGAATGTCTGCCATTTATAACAGAATGTATACATCCATTGATTTTTTAAATATATACGGTATATACTTAGAAAAACAACAATTAGAACAACAAAATAAATATTACTTTCATCATTTATTTTTCGTTAGCCGTTTTGAAGCACGTATACATATTTGTATGGTGGTGTCTAGCACACTCAGTCTTTCGACTCATTCTGTTTCACCTTTTTTCCACAAATTTGCTATTATTAATAACCGTATAAAAATATATCTATTAAACTTATTATCTTCAAACATGTAATTTTGATCGCTTATCACAAACCATGAATATTTCGAATTGTATTAGAATATTTTTTATACTTTTTTGCCTACTTGCATTAAACATAGATAGATGAGTTTAAGTGCACTTCTGAAATATATGTCTTTACAAATACTCAAAAAAAAAAGAATCAGCGACTAACCGTGGAATTTTTAAAATTTTGATTTTATAAAGAGAGTAATCAACTATCCATGTTCAAAACGGCATTGTAAATATTTAAATGAGAAAAAAGCTTATCGTATTTTAGACGCGATTTAAATAAAACCAAAGATAGTTTTGTATTACTAAATACTCTGGTAAAACAATGCCCTAGTTTACGTCTGTTGCGGTAAGCTGCTAATTAATTAAGTTTTTTACTCCGGCGTATCAAAATCGCTTTTATAAAGTGAAAATTAAAAAGTTTATATATTATGTTACATGTACGTACAAAAACCAAGCCAATTTGGAAAAATTGTTTCTCTTTACTCATTTAATAACGTTCTATTCCAATAAATCTATGAAAACCGAAAACGAAGCTCTTTAAAAAAAAGTATTTATTTTAAATATTATAATGCTTCCGTTTTATTGTGTTTTATTGAAATATACTTTTATGTTCAAAGCAATATCATCTAAAATCATAAATTATATTGAGCAGTGAGTACATATAACAGTAGTATAAAATTTGATTCCTTCAGAATTATATCAGAGAATGTTTGAAACAGAAATTGTCAAATCGTTATCAAGATTTACGATCAGACTATTGACCTTCAACGAAAATCCTGATATAAGAGGAGACGGTAGGTGACTATTGTCACTATTTATTGTGGGTGTCAGTTATCTGTAGTATTTATCAGCATTTCCCCACTGAAGCCCGCATAAGTCGAAAAGCCTCCGCTTGGAAGCTTTTAAAGGATCAAAGAGAACTTAGATACCGCTGTAGTGTTGAATGAACAAATTATTTATACTGTGTTGTAAATATCATACATTTTATAGTGTCTTCTTCTTGGTACTTCATATAAAGAATCGGTTAACCCATTTGGCGCCTCTGTACGCAATTGTGTACACCTAATTAATTGAAGGTAAATAATCACTTTACTAACCTATATTTGTTTTTTTCGACTCATAATTAAAAATAATAGTTTGAGCATCAAAAAAATTACAATTTATGTGGGTATATTCATAAAATCTGTCACAGTAAGGTTATGAACTTCGCGATGTAATCGTTTATCGAGGTAAATTCGCTGATTCATTATTTTTTTTATAATACATAACCTAAATTTCAGATATATTTATGTTTCTTGTAGTCAACATCCTTATTCGTAAAATCAATAATAAAAGAGTATCTTACAACAAGTATTTACAAAGAAATCGTACTTGAAATACAACTGTACTCGATTGTGTACAGCGGCCGAATCTATGTAACGATTGCGCTTATTGTTCTAGTATTTCCATGACTTCGAAATAT